AGGACCAGCATAAAACAAGTTTTTCTTATACAGCATTATATTGTACTTCAAAAGCATAAATTAAAAATGATGGTTGGGGATATAGCTCAGTGTAGCTTGTTTGCTCCCCAAGTAAAGAAAAGAAAGAACAAAATGGAGCCCCATAAAACTTAGAATTATCATATAGTTACACATATAACTTCTTTGTTAGACTTTTTTTTCTTTTTTCCTGTTTTGGTCTATCTTTTATATTGGAGGCTTTCTTCCAATCTTTTTTCATTCCTTTATGTATAAGGTAATAAAAAAATCACTTAGGAGTTCTGTGTATGTGGCTTTACTGTATATACCTGCATGGATCCTTTCTTTGTCATCCTCTCAAATGTGTGATATTCATTTTCCATTGAGAATTTTTCCTTTTTCTGGAAGATAGTTTTCCACTGTACTGTCTATGGAGGCAGTAACTTATTAAATTAATAAGTTAATAAACTATTGTAATTTAACAGTAATTTTTAAAGTTGCTTATTTTATGTGCCAGTGAGGCTTGAACCTCAGGGCTTATCTTTTTCTGCTCAAGACTGGTACTCTTGCATTTGAGCTACAACTCCACTTTCAGCTTTTTGCTGCTTAGTTGGAGAGAAGAGGCTTCCAGTCAGGCTTCAAGCCTTAATCCTCAGAGTTCAGCTTCCTGGTGTTAGGATTAAAGACACAAGCCACCAGCTTCCAATCTTATTATTTCTTATTTCTTGGCTTTCTGCTTGGATGAGGTTTTCTAGTGTGTTATCTCTAAGGACTACTTTCCTAAAGAATAAGTTTCTTTGACTGACTGCTAATCTTGTGACTTTAAGTATGTCTTTTATGGAATCACAGGTAGCAGTGGTTAATAGTCTGTTAATGGAGCTTGACTGCTGCACTGTTTGAGCTGTCTCGTTTAGAGCTCTCATTTCTCTTTAATGCTACAATTTCCACTGTTTAACTTGATCCTGAGTGCAGCACTTGACTATTTTGGGGCTCTTATTTTACCTGACCAAATTTATCAGCAAGAAAAAACAGTCATTTTACAAAGTTTAGTATCAAACTTAAATTTTAAACTCATTTGCCCTTTGGTTTTGTTGTTTTGTTGTTTATATAGAGCGTATCAGTGTTAAACAGCCCTTTTTATTTTGGTTGCTGCTTTGCCAGCTTGGAAACAGTTGATTTGTACTCAGTAAATCCTGCTTCTCAAATGCTAGTTCTAGGATCTTTAATCCTTCTCAGATGCTTTTTGTGACTTTTGCCATTCTCTTACTGGATGTTTTTCTTGCTTAGAGGAAAGTACAAGAAGAATAGAGATCTTTTCGATGACCAACTGTCTTGGAATCACAGGAAAGGAGTTTTATGTGTAGAAAGAGGCAATAGTTGCTGGAACACCCTTAGTGTTTTTATACCTATACATAATAACCGATGGGATTTTTACCCTAGACATTAGGTGATTTCTCAAAGGGAGAAGGGTATATACCAGAAATGAGGGGAAACATGATGGGGGGGGCAATGAGGACAAATATATTTGGAAGAGTTTTGAGGGCCCCAGCAAGAAAATATATAGCATAATGTGTAATTGATCAAGGAAAGTCATGAAATTTTCAGTCAACAACTGAAGTTGTAAGTTAATTCTTGGAACAGTATCTCCAGAGAAATATAGACTCAGACTTTGCCTAAAGGCTGAGTGATCATTATTACATAATTTTTGGGCTAATCTACTTAAGCTATAGTTTTAATAAAATTAGGCCACATACATTGAATTTCCAAACAGAGTAGTTATAGTGGCTATGTTCTACTTCCATGGCTTAAAAATAACTAACTAGGGCTAGGAGTTAGCTAAGTGGTACAGAACTTGCCTGGCATGTACAAGGCCCTGGATTTAATCCCCAACATAGCAAAAATAAAGAGATATAAATTATAGAATGGCTATATGGCAGTTAATGAGACTTCTGCATCAGCCAGGACTTAATTAGGTTTTCCAGTCTTCCTGGGAAGAAAGAAGAAACATGATGCAAAAAATGGCAGGCTTTTATCTGTATCCAGATTCAGATGCTGCATGTAGTATTAGTCACCATGATTGTTTCATTTGGGGTTAAGGGAAAGTCTGGCTAGTTCTGTGATACCACGTTGACATAGAGAGAGATCAGAGAAGAGAAAGATGACTAGGGTTTTTGGTTGGTTTTTTGTTTAAAATCCATGTCAGGCCCTAAAAAAATATGTGAGTCTTTGAGGGACAAATGTCATCAAAATAGAGACTTTCAAGCCATCTTAATTCCATATTATAAGGTTTTTAACTTATAATTACCTACTGCAGGGGACTCTCTTGACCTCCATCTCTTTTGCTGGGTCTAAGCTTCTACTCTAGCAATTTAGAAACCCACCTTTTCTAAAAATAATTTTGTTTGTCTTTTTAACCATTTGCCCAAGGAAGGATTTGAGCCACGTTGATATTCCTCCCTACTTAGCCCAATTTCAGGCATTGAGTCAGCACTGTATGTTTGGTAAATGTCGTTCACTAAGGCTCATTATTTTACTGGAAATTCTGTAAAGGCAGTTTTAATTATGCTGGATGTGAGTTTTGTTTTATGAGGTCTTAAAAAGTCATCTGGAGCCAGGTGGCCCATGCCTGTGATCCTAGCTACTCAGGAGGCCGAGATCTAAGGATCGTGGTTTGAGGCCAGCCTGGGCAGCAAAGTTTGTGAGACTCTTTTATTTCCAACTAGTCACAGAAAAAGTTGGAAGTGGTGTTGTGACTCAAGTGGTGGAGTGCTACCCTTGAGCAAAAGGAGGCCAGGGACAGTGCCCAGGTCCAGAGTTTAAACCCTATGACTGGCAAAAAAAAAAAAGTCATCAAATTTCCCTCCTCCTTCCCCTCCCCTCCTCTCCCCTCTCCCTTCCCTCCCTCCCCACTTCTCTTTCCCTTTTTTCTCCCTCCCTCCCTTCCTCCTTTCTTTTCTTTCTCTCCCCCTCCTTCCCTCTTCCTCTCCTTCTCTTCCTCCCTCCCTCCTTCCTTTCTTTTCTCTCTCTCCCCCTCCTTCCCTCTCCTTCTCCTTCTCTTCCTCCTTCCCTCCCTCCCTCTCTCCTTCTCTTCCTCCCTCCCTCCCTTCCTTCCTTCTTCCTCCTTCCTTTCTTTTCTCTCTCCCTCTCCTTCTCTCCCTCCCTCCCTCCCTCCCTCCCTCCCTCCCTCCCTCCCTTCCTTCCTTCCTTCCTTCCTTCCTTCCTTCC